TTTTCAAATGTAATAACTCGGCAAAAACAAAGATATTTGAGCCAACTCAACGACATTTAAAAGTTAAGGTCTTGTACTTTCATATCCTATGTATTGTTTTGTTTTTTACATGGCGATACTACATACATGACCTGAAACACTTATGACGAAAAACAATGGGCCGTATGCATAAAAACTAAGCAAATGCTTTTACTTAAAATTTCAGACCTTTTACTCGATTTGTTCAAATAAATTTAAGACAAAGGCATGACATTTTAAGAAAAAGCAGTTGCTTAGTTTTTATGCATACGCACACTGGGGCCAAGCGTGCTCAAAACTCAATTAAAAAAATTCGTTTTTCGGAAATATAAAAACACAGGATTATTCCCCATTAAATCCTACATTTGGGCGTAAGTTTTCAGCCCTCTATCGTTTTTAGGCTGGGAGATATGCGTGTCCAAATTTGAACAATATTTTTTTTTTCAAAACTGAAAAACTCAGATGTGCAATTCAAATTGTTACTGTAAGAAAGCGGTATTATATTTCGTTATTTTTTTCCATTATCTTAAATGAAGTTTATTGATTTTTGGGTGTATTATTTTGAAATTAAAAAAATTAACCAACCTCTTTTTTTTGCGAGTATAATTTTCAAAATAATTTTTTTTTTTAAATGCGGAAGCGCGTCATGCTGACAATTTAGAGGACGTTTTTCATAAACAGTTAGTTTCATCAGATCCTCTGATTACTTGCTCGCGCTTGTTGCCGGTGGTCACAAACCGGAGATCTTTCTTTGGCGAAGCAATGGAGTTAGTAGAACTTGAAGCGAATAATATTAGTTTAACGGGGTTTGGATGAGATTTACATTCCGACTTTGAGGAATAAGTGTCATAGTTTTCATTATATAATGCTTATCATAACTATAAGACACCCACACATTGACAAGTTTTGACTACTTTTTTATTATTATTTAATTTTAATTGTTTTTTTTTTTAATATGGTTTGTTCCTTAACAAAAACCGAATAAATCTAAGTTTCAAACTTCGTAAATATATCGATTTTGAGTACGTATTTTTGTAGTCCATTCAATTTTAGTACAGTTTGAAGCAGCTAGGACATACCATTTTTTTTTTTCTATTTTTGTATCTATTTCCTATCTTTTGCTATCTAACTGATCTCTATATAAATGACTTCCCCTGTTTCATTCTCTTTCCTAGTGATTAGAACAAATACATCCATTTTTACTGTTAGTTCTAAGCAGGCTTCGGAAATATTCATATTTAAACGTTTGCGTACGGACATTTATGATTTGATACGCGAAGGTGAACGAATCAAATATTCTCTATTGATTCTCCTTCGCGAACGAGAAGCATAAAACCAGTTCAGATAGTTCGCGTCAGGGACACGAATTTCGATACGATACGATACCATATCGATACTTTTGGCATTCGATACCGATATTTGTTACTCGATAGTTTCAAAACTATATTTTTTGGAATCGAGTAGCAGAATACTAGTATCGTACTTGCTTTCAAGTCTGCTCGTTCCAAGGCGAAGGAGGTGAGAAGAAAGGGGAAGAGTACAGATACCTCCCATTTAAAGAACCACGAACTTGAATTCAATAAAAGTTGAGCCGTCTGGAAGCAAATAGAAAATACAAAAGAGAATGCGAAAAAATTGCTTTCAAGACTTATCTGATTATCAATTCTTCCCGATAGAAAACACAAAAGAGAATGCGAAAAAATTGCTTTCAAGACTTATCTGACTTATCTGATTATCAATTCTTCCCGATATACATTGGGCTTTAAAGAACAGAAATGTTTTACAATCGTTAGGATTGCATGTGGCGGGATTTCAACACGCGGTCTCGGTATTTTAAGTCAACACCTCAATCTCTACGTGTAAAAATAATAGATTGGCGCTTACAAAATATGTTAGCGTTTGGCCGAGCTTCTCCTCCGATTTGTTGCGTGGGCCTTGATGTTGTACCATAAAGGGCGTTTTTATGAGAAGCTGTTTCTCATGGGAGAAATACGCTCGTAGGGTTTCTAATCACTTTTTCAGATATTCTTATTTTTTTGGATTTTAGTACCGATATTTGCGATATCGAGTCTTTTTGTTACGATATTTATGGGTACCCGATATTTTTCCAGCGATACTTTAAATGAGTACCATATCGATACTTTCTGTTCGATATCGTGTCCCTAGTTCGCGTTCGCGAATGTTAGGTTAAAAAAAATTGCCGCTGTCGTTCGTACGCATATGTATTGGTGGACCAAACAGCGTGTGTTCATATATGTAGCTATAAGTGGCAGCGATGCCTTCGCGAAGGTTCACTGCTGCCGTTCTCATTCATAAGTGAATGTAAATGCTGCGTCAAACATTCGCGGAAAGTTGGTGTGGCTGGAGATACAATTCTATGCGGAGGTAATTTTGTTAATTGCATAAGATTTCCACCGTTCATTCGATTCAAAAATGAGGTGTCAAATGAAAGGCCTTGGCCTCTAGATGTAGTTTTTTAATAGGGTTGCCACCTGCGTTTAAAGTTATAATATTTACACCATTCTCCCGATTTTAAAAAATGAGGTGTCAAGTGAAAGGGCTTGGCCTCTGGATGTACAGTAAGGATATATTTGTTTAATAGGGTTGCCACCTGCGTTTAAAATTATGATATTTACACCGTTCTCCCGATTCTCAAAAATGAGGTGTCAAATGAAATGGCTTGGCCTCTAGATGTGCCGCAAGGATATGTTTTTTTAATGGGGTTGCCACCTGCGTTGAAAATTATAATATGCACCGTTCTATATAATATTTCCTAGAAATCTTTAAGGAAAAATGTCATTCAACAACAATAGTTGCGATTCTGCCTGCAGACAAACCCCTCAAAATTATTAGAAGTAGTATTTAGTATTTTGAAATAAAACGGCTTTCGCGTATGTTACGTAGAAAAATAATCTAAGGCAGCGACTATTTTTTAAACCTAATATACGCGGGTAATAATTAAGCTTCTACCTGGGTGGCACAGGTGGCAACCCTATTACAAAAAATTTATCCTTATATCTATATCTATATCTATATCTATATCTATATCTATATCTATAT